AAAGAAAACATTACAATACAATACAAACATTACACCACTTCTGAAGTTGTATTCTGTTGTATATAAGAATTTTCGTAACTTTAGTAACCTGTTCATTTTCAATATGAGACTAGCATGCAACAAAAACTGAACTGAGTCATCTGATTATCTGATGTGTGTACTAGGCATAACAGATCAATATCTGGTTGGATGGATGTAGTAGCAATTCTTAAGGTATCCTCAGATAATTTGGTTCTAATTTTGCCTTTTGTGTGCTTCATCCTTGAATATAGGTGCTGCTGAAAACTGCTGAAATTAATAAGGCGTAATTGTGAAGAGTGGGTGTATTTTCTTTGGGAAGATACAACTTACAAAGTTCCAGTAACAGAGAAATTGGAAAAGTTCCCAAACAAAAAAAATCTACATTTTTAAGTTCACGATTTAGTGTTGGGCCGCATTCATAGCCATCTTGGCCCACATGTGGCCCCTGATAAAATAAACAAGCACCTGCAATGCCAGTACTAGTTACCCACACTCTTTAAGAACTCACTTCAATATTTTACAATGTTGGACTTGAGCTTAAAAGATCAGTTTATTTATATGTTAGAAGACAGCCTGAGCCTGCCAACATGCCATAAGAGACATAATGGACTACAAAATTGTTACGGGAGACTGTTAAAAACAGTTTACATCTTACAGGTGATAAAAAAAATATAGCAGGGGTGAGCAACTTTTTCCACATTCGGTGTTAGGAGAGCGTTCTGTAAACCCCAGATCAGCCCCAATTCCTGCACCATCACACCTCAGATCAGCCTCAGTTATTGCATGATCTCCCTTCAGATCTGCCCCAGTTCCTGTGCCTTCACACCTTGGATTAACCCCAATTCTTGCACCAACAGACATTAGATCAGCCCCAGTTTGTTCAACTTAACATCGTATATCAACCTAAATTCCTGCTTCTTCAAACCTTAGATCAACTACAGTTTCCGCACCTTCACACCTCAGATCAGCTGAATTCCTGGGCCATAAGACCTCAGATCTGTTCCAATTCCTGATCATGCCCAATTCCTGTACCTTCAGACCTCAGATCACCAAAATTCCTGTACCGTCAGACCTAAGATCAACAGAATACCTGCACCTTCAGATCTCAGATCAGACAAATTTCTGCACCTTAGGACCTCAGTTAAGCCAAAATTCCTGAACCATCAGAAATATAAGGGTTTCACATTTATACATGCTGCAGCTAGTGGTTCCACTAGGATAAGGAAAAGGATGGGTGGGCTGGCTTCTTCATATAAAGACATCCACAGCCATGGGCAGCCCTATGCTGGTACTGGGAAAAGGACCAGCAATTGCACATTGCAAGACGGGCCTTTCTGAAACATCATGGAGGTACATGGGCAGAGGGACAGGCTGGGCTTTGTAATTTACAGTCTAATGAGGTATCAGTTACAGTCTATGGCAGTCACCATATATACAGGGCACACTGAAGCATCCACCCTGACTAAAAAAAGCAAAAGATAAGTGAGCGCTCGTGTAAATATGTAATGAGCAGCAGCTGTACACCAGAAAAGGCACTGTATCAGACCTTCAATAGCATAAATGTAAAAGAGGAGGTGCAGCACTATATAACTAAACACAATACTAAATAAACCACTAATGGTACACAATAGTGATAAACAGTGACTGAAATTAATAATGCCACTAAATGGTGGCCATAGAGTGAAGAGAGTGAAACAGTCCAATGAAGCAGTGCTCTTGAGATCCGGGATGATCTTCAAACGTCCTATATGAAGGACCAACAGGTGATAAAATATGAAGACTGCGCACTCACCCAGATACGCAATCTTTATGCGCATTTGTATAAAATATCACTGGACCTCCTGTATCCTCATCAGATCTGGTCAGCATATCCCTCAAGGCCTGGTATCCACATAGATGTAGCTTTTCCGTAGATTTGGCCGGTTTTCACCAATGCTCAAATAAATAGAAAGGGCCACATAGTGTAATATCCTCAGGTATCTTTATTAGATGTACAGGATAGCAGGAAAACTGACATGCAAAAGTATACTGACCAATGAAAATCAAAGATGGCCGCCGGGGCCCCTCGTGGCGCCGGCGGTGAGGCGTCCGACCTGCTGTAGCTTTTCTGACGCGTTTCGAGCAATAGCTCATACTCATAGGGGTGCAGAGCTGCACCCCTATGAGTATGAGCTATTGCTCGAAAAGCGTCAGAAAAGCTACAGCAGGTCGGACACCGCCGGCGCCACGAGGGGCCCGGCGGCCATCTTTGATTTTCATTTGGTCAGTATACTTTTGCATGTCAGTTTTCCTGCTATCCTGTACCTCTAATAAAGATACCTGAGGATATTACACTATGTGGCCCTTTCAGAAACCGGCCAAATCTACGGAAAAGCTACATTTATGTGGATACCAGGCCTTGAGGGATATGCTGACCAGATCTGACCAGACCAGGATGAGGATACAGGAGGTCCAGTGATATTTTATACAAATGCGCATAAAGATTGCGTATCTGGTGAGTGCGCAGTCTTCATATTTTATCACCTGTTGGTCCTTCATATAGGACGTTTGAAGATCATCCCGGATCTCAAGAGCACTCCTTCATTGGACTGTTTCACTCTCTTCACTCTATGGCCACCATTTAGTGGCATTATTAATTTCAGTCACTGTTTATCACTATTGTGTACCATTAGTGGTTTATTTAGTATTGTGTTTAGTTATATAGCGCTGCACCTCCTCTTTTACATTTATCCACCCTGACTAGCCATTTTGAGTCTGAGCACATGCCATGTGAATATCTTCCAAGTGCTTCTGAAAATAGCATTGCTTGCTTACCATTGCATGCATGCCTAGGTTGACTATCCCTGAAAATTTTCAACACCTGTGATGCTAATATTAATTATCCACAATCTGCCAGCAATCAGTACAATATTTACACTTGGTGGTTGATTTACTAAAGGAGTAGAGGATGTTCACTTTGCAAAGGCAGCGCTCACTGAGCTTACTAAATAAGGTGAAATTGTGTTCAGTCACCCAATCCTATCCCAGAAAATATCCTTTTTAATTTCCTGCACCCATGACAATTCTTACACAACTTCATCCTTTTTTACTGCTACACTTTGTGAACAGCCGGCTTTTTTAATAGTAAATTATCCCCTTTACTTATTATAACAGCTTATCTGTAACATTTTGATCCATATGTAAAATGTATTTTGCTCTCTTTTTACAGAAAATGTTTTATAGGTTATGACATCTATAGCATTTTAAAATGTCTCGTATACACTATCTTGTTCCTTTCCCTTTATCTTCCTATCCTGTAATGGAGAATCCCCAGGGAACATATCATCTACCATTGCCAATTCAAAAGATACTTGTTGAAGAGGTCATAGATACAGCTTGACCGGAACATTGATTATTTATTTGAAAATCACAATAAGTGCTTCTTGACCATGAACAAGTTTAGTTAGAAGCAGAATGCCACGTTTTGGTGTTATCAGACTGGTTCATTAATTGGCTAGTTCATATATTCACTTACCATTTGACCTCAGAGCTATAGGAAGTATTGGGAGCATTGTACTATATAACATGATAAAGAAATTGGTGAAATTGGAGTAGAAACAAAAATACTCTCCTACTAGAACAAACCGTATACCTAAAGTGATACTAAACACACACTGTTTAATTTACATTATCCATTATCTTTCTGTAAATGGATGATGGCACTCAAATGATTTTCATTAAAAAAGAAATCTAAGTACCTTTTTTCCTAATCAATATACTGCTGTCACATGACCCAGAACTTTCCCAGCCTGTATACAGGAAATATATAAACAGGAGGAGCTCCTAGTCTTCTGTTGTTGGTCACATGTTCAAAATCAATTTTAAAAAAACAGCATTTGCGATGCAGAGTAAAAAAATAATAAAAATATATATAAACTATTTTAAATTGTCATATAAATACACATTTGAAATCAAATATTTGTTTATTTTTGGCAATAACATGGTGTGGGTGGATTTCAGCCAGTCACAAACTGTGTCATACCCCTCCAGCCTGTGTCTTAGAATAACAGGGAGGTGAAGCTTTCATCAATCAATATAAAAATTCCCACCTCCATTGTGTTTAGCTGGTTAGTGGGCATGGAGGAGGAGGGAGGGAGTGGGCTGTTATTTACCATTGTGTATATGCCCACATGTGTGACTCTATAGTCACATGGGCTGCTCAAATGTAAAAGGAAGGAAATGCTCAAGATAGAAAATACACTGAAAGCTAAGCATGTGCACTAGCTGCCAACACTGCTCTGCAACATCCCTAGCTGCATTGGAGACATGCACAGAAAGGGGAGACAGGGAACAGCAGGATCAACCAGGTGTTTTGCAGAATACAGAAAACAAATCCCATATAGAATTAGTGAGTATGAACAGCATTTAAGACAGCATTTATCCACAGTTTTTATGATGTGGGTTTAATGACACTTTAAGGTTTTTGTCAGGATGTACAGAAAGAACTGTACATGAGATAGACGTAAGATTGATGGATAGACAGGTAGACAGATCACAGATGGATGGAGAGATTACAAGGAGATTTGAGATACATAGAAGAGGGGGATGGACATGTGTATAGACATATGATTGATTTATAGATAGATACAGTATATAGAGATAGATAGATAGATAGATAGATAGATAGATAGATAGATAGATAGATAGATAGTTTCTATGGATGGGCAGTCACAGGTTACAGGGGGAGAGTAGATAGATAGATAGATAGATAGATAGATAGATAGATAGATAGATAGATAGATAGATAGATAGATAGATAGATATGGATAGACTGAAAGAACTTCATATGTATTTCATATAGTGATATGAGGTGTCCCTCCGTGGGATTGTGTGTTAGTCTTTGATATGCTATCTGCACAGAAAAATGTTTCTTTGAAATTGCTTGCACATATAGAGCATTCCTGACATCAAGTAAACCAACTGCCTATGTTTTCTTGCAGTATACATCTGCACTGACTTATGATGGTGTTCTTGTAATGGCTGAAGCTTTTCGTAATTTAAGAAGACAAAAAATTGATCTTTCAAGAAGAGGAAATGCAGGAGACTGTCTTGCTAATCCTGCTGCTCCATGGGGTCAGGGGATTGATATGGAAAGAACATTAAAGCAGGTACTTCTAAGTGTTCTTTGTCATCTACAGGGTTTGGGTTATTAAAAGCTAATCCTGACTTTGTACAAATGTTTTTTGTTACAGGTTCGAATACAGGGTCTAACTGGAAATGTACAGTTTGACCATTATGGCCGAAGGGTCAACTACACAATGGATGTTTTGGAGCTAAAAAGTACAGGCCTCAGGAAGGTAGGTATATCTTTACTCAATGAATACAGTTTATAAAACTCATAATCCAAAACAGAAAAACTGTTTTTGCCTGTGCTTGCCCTTTAATAATTCTTAATGCCAATTTTGGCTTGTTTGCCTCTTTGATTATTAATGTTCTTGTTGTGTATTTTTGGCCTGTGTCATTGTCAGGGCTTTTTTTTTCTCAGAAAATATGTGCAAGAACTCAACCATGACCCACCAAACCCCCCTACCTACACACACATAAACTCTCCAAACCCCATCAAATAATGGGTGTGGTCAAATGTTACTAAGAGTGGGAGGGCACATGGGAGTGTGTACTACAAAGGTAATCTTTGTTATAGGCCACCCAGTGTTAATGAGGAGGTGGAGACTCAGCTCCTTGCACGGATCGAAATGGCTACAAGGACTGGGACAGTGATAATAATGGGGGACTTTAACTACCTGGAAATTGACTGGAATAATGGTACTGCAGGAACAATTAAAGGGAAAAAAAATGTATAAACCTACTAAGGACAATTTTATGGTACAGTTCATGGAGGCCCCAACTAGGAATGATACTCTTCTGGACCTGGTAATCTGAAACCATGCAGAGCTTATTACTAATGCCCATGTAAAAGAACATCTGGGTAGCAGTGACCATAACATTTATCATTTATCATTTATTGTTAGCTGTAAACAACAAGCACACACAGGCAAAAAAAAACCGCTTAACTTTAAGAGAGCTTATTTTCCAAGGCTGAGAGCTGCTCTCCAAGACTTAGACTGGGAGGGAATATTGGCATCAATGAACACAACACAGAAATGGGAGTTCTTCAAAAAGACTGTATGTGAACACACTGCAAAATATATTCACATGGACAAAAAGTTTAAAAGGCTAAAAATCAAACCTCTGTGGCTTACGGCCAAAGTTAATAAAGCTATAGATAATCAGAAAAGAGCTTTTATTAAATATAAAAATAAAGGAACGCTATCATAATTTAAACATTACAAAGAATATAACAGAATATGTAAAAAAGAAATAAAGGCCGCAAAAATTGAAAACGAACGACAGATTGCAAAAGATAGCAGGACAAACCCCAAAACAATCTTCAAATATATTAATAGTAAAAAGGTCCGGTCCGAGCATGTAGGCCCTTTAAAAAATAATCTAGAGTGGGTGACTGGGGACAAAGAGAAGGCAAATGTATTACCTAGTAGTACCTTCATCAGCTCTGTATACAAAGGAGCATGGAGGAGCTCTTGTCCATAATGGGCATGGTATTGACACAGCTCCAGATGATCCACATGGGCTCACAATTGATATGATTCAAAAATATTTAGACAGAATAAAGGTGTATAAAGCACCTGGACTGGATGGCATACACCCACGGGTCCTGAAAGAATTGAGCTCTGTCATTTCAAAGCCATTGTTTCTAATTTTTAGGGACTCTTTTTAATGACTGGCATAGTACCACTTGATTGACATAATGACAATGTGGTGCCTATACTTAAAAAGGAGTCAAAATCTTTACCAAGTAATTATAGACCTGTTAGTTTATCTTCTATAGTTGGGAAGATACTGGAGAATTTAATAAAAGACCACATAGATGAGTTCTTGCTGGAAAAAAATATTTTAAGCAACAGTTAGTATGGATTAATGAAAGACAGAAGTTGTCAAACAAATCTGATTTCTTTTTATGAGGAGGTGAGCAAAACCTTGGACAGAGGGGTGGCAGTGGACGTGGTATACTTTTGCAAAAGCATTTGACACAGTTCCCTACACATGGCTAATATGTAAAGTACAGTCTACGGGCTTGGAAAAATCCATATGTTAATGGATAGAAAACTGGCTAAAAGATCGTATTCATAGAGTAGTGGTTAATGATTCATACTCTGAATGGTCTAGGGTTGTCAGTGGTGTACCCCAAGTTTCAGTGTTGGGACCCTTACTTTTTAATATATTTATAAACGGTATATGGTCTGGGATTAGACATACGGATTCAGTCTTTGCAGATGACACCAAGCTGTGCAGTGGAATAATGTCCTTATAGGATGTCTCCAACTTACAAGCCGACCTCAATGCACTGATTAATTGGGCAACTAGTACCTCTCTGCACACTGTAGATGGCTCCACCTCTCTCACTTGCAGTGAGATTATCCAGTGGTGGGCACCTGTATCTCTCTTGTCCCTGTCCTGCACTCTGTGGAAGCCACTCAGAAGATCAGATCTGTGGGAGCCATTGGGAGACGAGATGTCACTTGTAAACGCAGCAGCTGGACTTCTGTATTTACAAGTGATAGTGGTGAGCAGGGAGCAGAGGACCTGAGCCATAGGTGGTGGAACTGAGTTCCACCAATTTCCAGCTAAAAAAAAGTCTTGGTCATTGTCATATAATTGGATTCACATTGAACAGTCATAACCTATAAATAGGCTTACCTTTTAAGCCCATGTACACTATATTGCCAAAAGTATTGGGACGCCTGCCTTTACATGCACATGAACTTTAATGGCGTCCCAGTCTTAGTCTGTAGGGTTCAATATTGAGTTGGCCCACCCTTTGCAGCTATAACAGCTTCAACTCTTCTGGGAAGGCAAGTTTCAGGAGTGTATGGGAATATTTGACCATTCTTCCATAAGCACATTTGTGAGATCAGGCACTGATGTCGGATGAGAAGGCCTGGCTCACTGGAAGTAAGGGGCCAAGCCCAACACCTGAAAAAAACAACCCCACACCATAATCCCCCCTGCACCAAACTTTACACTTGGCACAATGCAGTCAGGGAAGTACCGTTCTCCTGGCAACTGACAAGTCCAGACACGTCTATCGGATTGCCAGACAGAGATGCGTGATTCATCACTCCAGAGAACACGTCTTCACTGCTCTAGAGTCCAGTGGCGACTTGCTTTACACCATTGCATCTGACTCCATTGCACTTGGTGATGTTGGCTGCTCAGCCATGGAAACCCAGTCCATGAAGCTCTCTACATACTGTTGTTGTGCTAATCTGAAGGCCACACAAAGTTTGGAGGTCTTTAGCTATTGACTCTGCAGACAGTTGGTGACTTCTGTGCACTGTGCGCTTCAGCATGCTCTGACCCCTCTCTGTCATTTTATGTGGCCTACCACTTCGTGGCTGAGTTGCTGTTGTTCCCAGTTGCTTCCACCTTGTTAAAACACCACTAACAGTTTGACCGTGGAATATTTAGTAGCAAGTAAATTTCATGGATGGACTTATTGCACGAGTGACAACCTATCACAGTACCACGCTTGAATTCACTGAGCTCCTCTCCTCAGAGTGACCCATTCTTTCACAAATGTTTGTAGAAGCAGTCTGCATGCCTAGGTGCTTGATTTTATACAGCTGTGACCATGGAGGTGATTGGAACACCTGAATCCAATTATTTGGAGGGGTGTCCCAAAACTTTTAGCAATATAGTGTATGTATTACATATTGTGGCCACTGCTGATTCAGTGTAGGATCAGCAGCTAATTGCAGATTTCAGGACTGAGAAGCCTTCTCTCAGAAATTCAATCTTTTCTGTCTATAGCAAGAGAGAACTATAGATTTTTCATTGTAGTCTATGACTTCATTCACGTCACCTGTAGTGCGTGGTAATATGTAGCAAGCGCATGCATTACCGTAATGCATGGTAACAGCTTATTCGTGGTACTGCATTTTGGTACGAATCATTCTACACTCAGGAGAAAAATCTTCCCACAGTAGAATAGCTTTGGATCCCTTTATTTTCTGAATTTGGACTGGGGAGTAGATGCAGAGGAAGCGTCAGAGTTGATGAGGACTGTCAGCTCACCTATTTAGAAAATAAAGGGAACACAGCTATTTTACTGTGAGCAGACTTACTCCTTACATGCATTGGGTAGTGACAGGGTCTCTTTAAAAAAAAATCAGGTACTAGTTGTAGGTGGGTGGTTGTGTGGGTGGGTAGGTAGATGTCTCTCCAATTGGTTGTGCCCAGTGGTGGATGCTGGCAGCAAACCCTCTTAGGGTTTGGGTTGTTACTTCTCTGATACAGTGAAGGAAATAAGTATTTGATCCCTTGCTGATTTTGAATGTTTGCCCACTCACAAAGAAATGATCAGTCTAAAAATTGAATGGTAGGTGTATTGTAACAGTGAGAGACAGAATAGCAACAAAAAATTCAAAAGAAATGCATGTCTAACAAATTATGCATTTCTTTTGAATTTTTTGTCCTCACTTTATGTCCTCAAGGTTGTTTCCATGCATAGACTTGGAATGATAGGAAAGAAGGCGCTACCAATGTCCAAAGAATGCAAGTTTGATGGTAGATTAAGAGGTGTTTATTGAGAATAGCAACAAGTACACCAAGCCAACGTGTTTCAGGAGAAAGGACTCTCCATTCTTCAGGGCTTTTGCTGCATGCTAATAATGGGAAAGATTCCCGCGCTGATTAAATATTTGCCAGGTTTTGGAGGAAAAACTGACAGAGTGACAGCTGAATTCCAGGAACAGCAGATCAGACCAGACACAGAGAGATAGAAAATAGTTTTTAGATACATTGCATCGTTGTTTCAATTTATGTGCCCAGGTTTCATATTTAAAGTATGTTTAATGCCAAAAATGTTTGTAAGAAATGGGTAAAAATTACTGCCAGTTTTTTTTGCCTTCAGTGCCTTCTGGAGAGACTTACCCTCATTTCCTTTTCAGTATGCACAGCCAGAAGTGAAAGAAAAATTTCTCCAAAGTGAGTGTAATGCCTGCTTATATGCAGTAGTTGTCACTAGAACAAGTATCCACATTGCAAGGGTTCTCCTGTATTCTTGTTCTGGTGACTGATGGTAAGGAAATCACACTGCAAGGGAGAGCTGCTGGAGTGATTTACTGCCGGCCGTGGTAGGGGGCAGTGTGGTGCACAATTCAGATGGCTCCTGTTTGTTTTTGTTTTGTACAAACTTTATTTGAGTGTACAAAACATACACTTCATTCTTGGAAATGTACAACATTGAAAGTAAACAGCAGAGGAGAAGCTGCAAAGTATACAGAGATTCCAGGGAAACAGTCAGGCAGCAATAACAACATGAAAGGGGATGTAAGCTTTTATTAGATTGTCAGTAATAACTATTGTTCATATCACTGTTACTAGTTCGTCTATGATCTCAGCTGTCTCCTTCTGAACCTTTAATGTCAGACAAAACATTTAAGTGGATCTAAACACTATAGATTTGTTACCTTAACCACATGCCTTCCAGAGGATTTACCCCCTCTTCCTGACCAGGCCAATTTTTGCGTTATGGCACTGAGTTAGTTTAACTGACAATTGCGCGGTCATGCAATGCTGCACCCAAAAAAAATTTACGTCCTTTTTTTCCCAGGAATAGAGCTTTGGTTTGGTGGTATTTGATTGCCTGTACATTTTTTTTATTTTTTGCGCTATAAAAAAAAAAAGCCCGACAATTTTGAGAAAAAAACAATATTTTTTACTTTTTGCAATTAAACACGTCCAGTAAAAAAATTTAAAAAAAAATCTAATTTCGTCATATATTTAGGCCAAAATGTATTCTGCTCCATGTCTTTGCTAAAAAAAAAATCCCAATACATGTAAATTAATTGGTTTACGTGAAAGTTATAGCGTTTATAAATGGCGGTATATATACTGATATTTGGTTTTCTATTTTTTTATTTTTACTAGTAATTGTGGCGATCAGCGACTACGGGACTGTGGCGGGCATTCTGACATTGGGGGGAACTGACTTGGTGTCACTGATATCCCCAGTGACACCAATACAGTGATCAGTGCTAAAAAAAAGCACTGACAGTGTGCTTATGGCACCAGGTAGGAAGGGGTTAACATGTGGGGCGATCAACGGGTTAACCGTGTGCTGTTTTAGTGTGTGCTGTGCTAGTGCTTTCCACTGTAAGCACCTTCTTTGCATGGCTCTGCTATGCAGAGCCATCCAAAGCAGTGTCTAGGAGCTGATAGAGGAGAGATCTGTATTGTTTACATACAGTTCTCTCCCTCCGTCGGTAATGCTCCGCGATCACCGGGTGCTGGCGAGTAATCACGGGACCCAGTGATTGACACCCAAGGCCGCAAATAGCAGCGTAGGTAGGGCATGCGCTCCCTACCCGGAAATGCAAAATCATGTATATATACGTGATTTTTTTGCACTCGTACCGCACTTTAGCAGTATTACTGCTATACAGCGGACTGGAAGCGGTTAGAGAGATTGTCCACAAATATTAAAAGTGCCTAAGATTTAACTTTTTGCATGCATTTCTCCTGAAAAATATCAATGCACTGACTGATCCTAGGCTCTCCTGTGCCTTGAGCCACATAGTTAGACCCATCTCCCTGCTGCCATTCACTTCCAAGCTCCTTGAGCGCTTAGTCTACAATCGCCTAAGCGCTCACCTCACTGACAACAACCTCCTCGATCCACTACAGTCTGGCTTCTGTCCCCTACACTCCACCGAAACCGCCCTACTCAAAATCACTAATGACCTGCTAACCGCCAAAGCTAATGGCCACTACTCAGTCCTCTTACTCCTTGAGCTCTCCGCGGCCTTCGACACAGTTGACCACCCCCTTCTCCTTGATAAACTACACTCACTCGGCATCAGAGACTCCGCTCTCTCCTGGCTCTCCTCCTATCTCTCCCAACACTCCTTCAGCATTACCTATAACGCTGCCACCTGCCCCTCTCTGTTGGGGTCCCCCAAGGCTCGGTCCTCGGGCCCTTTCTCTCTCCATCTACACCTCCTTCCTTGGCAAACTGATACACTCCCACGGCTTCAACTATCACATCTACGCCAATGACACGCAAATTTACCTCTCCACCCCTGAACTCACCCCTTCAGTCTGCACCCGTATCACCCACCTGCCGAACGACATATCAGACTGGATGTCGCTCCACTTCCTCAAACTGAACCTTTCCAAAACTGAGCTCCTAATTTTCCCCCCAGCCCGCGCCCCCCCCCCTCTCCATCACGACAACAACGCCACCATCAGTCCCACCCTGCAAGCCACAGTCCTAGGTGTCACTCTAGATTCAAACCTGTCCTTCCAACCCCATGTCCAATCGTTAGCAAGCTCATGCAGACTCCACCTCCGCAACATCTCCAAAATACATCGTTCCTAACCTCAGACACTGCTAAACAACTCGTTCACTCCCTTATTATCTCACGTCTGGACTACTGCAACTCCCTCCTCACCGACCGGCCTACCTCATCACAGACTATTCCTGCGTCAGTCTATCCTGAACTCAGCGGCCAGACTCATCCACCTTACCAACCGCTCCTCTTCTGCCACCACCCCTCTGTCATTCCCTCCATTGGCTACCGATTGCCCAACGCATCAAATTCAAGCTACTAACACTGACATACAAAGCCATTCATAACGCTGCCCCAAACTACCTCACCGACCTGTTACCCAAATACCACCCAACCCGTACTCTTCGCTCCTCACAAGACCTCCTACTTTCTAGCTCCCTGGTCTCCACCTCCCACGCCCGCTTCAGGACTTCTCCAGGATATCCCCCATCCTCTGGAACTCACTACCCCAATCCATCAGACTGTCACCTTCCCTCCTCACCTTTAGGAGCACCCTGAAAACCATCTCTTCAGGGAAGCCTACCCCGCCCTCACCTAACTGCCGATCTCCTCCACTCCTCCTACCACTCCATCCCCTCACAGCCACTTCCTCCTGTACCACTACCCCCTCCCTCCTAGATTGTAAGCTCCAAAGAGCAGGGCGCCCTTGAACCCCTCGTGTATTGTTTTGTTGCTGTATTGTCTCATGTTCTGTCCCCCACTATAATGTACAGCGCTGAGCAAACCTTTTTGGCGCTATATATAAATACTGTATAATAATAATAATAATAATAATAGTTGCATATCTTTAGGGCAAGAATATCTGTCTCTGACTTCTAATCTTATGAGGTTTGTGATGTTAACACTTCTCATCATTCTCTGCTGGAGTAAAACCTGTATGATCAACATATTCTGACAGATTTTCATTAATGCTTCACTCCACACATATACAAGACACAAAATTAACGCAGCACTATATTCATTTATACTCATTAAATTTATTTTTTTAATTCAGTTAGTGTAAGTACCCTTGATTAACTTCATGATGTCAGCCTCTTGCGGACCTCTATACAGCAGTTCTTAAATTGGGAGAAGTGTCAAGACTGGGAACCAGTCAGGTGTGCTGCATTCAAATGTACTGACAAGGAACATGTGGATAGGGGGAGAGAGCAGGGTGATGACTTTATTAGTGTTTTCCTTTACTGTCAAGTCAGCATCCTGGGGGGAAACTATGTAAATCTCAGGACTGGATGGACAGAAACACATATCCTTTGGCATGCAAAACAGCTGCCATGTATGTTTTTCACCTGTGTATTTAACTGTTTGCCTTGAATTTAGCGCTAGGCCCCATTAACATTAGTGCACCATTTTTTGCCACATTTGTGTCGTAATGGCATAGGGAAGTCCATTCACTTAAGGAGGCTTTGCTACACAGAACAAATGTGCCAAATTAATTCAAGTACCTTTTTTGGCACTGAGTCAAGCACATTTTGCATTCTGCGTTTTGTTGCGTTTTCTGCACATTTTGTCATGCAAGGTAACACGAGACTGCTGCCCGCATTTGGGGTGTCATTAAGAAATAATGGCACCGCAAGCGCATTGTGCGATTTTACACATTGTGCGTTTACAACACGCTTCTGTTCGTGTTTTGGGAATGCCTAGATCTTAAAGTGATTATAAACCCATACATATACAGTGCCTTGAAAAAGTATTCATACCCCTTGAAATTTTCCACATTTTATCATGTTACAACCAAAAATATAAATGTATTTTATTGGGATTTTATGTGATAGACCAACACAAAGTGGCACATAATTGTAAAGTGGAAGGAAAATAATAAATGGTTTTCAAAATTTTTTTACAAATAAATATCTGAAAAGTGTGGCGTGCATTTGTATTCAGACAAAAGTCAATACTTTTGTAGAACCACCTTTCGCTGCAATTACAGCTGCAACTGTTTTTGGTAAAATACATTTACGTTTCTGGTTGTAACATGACAAAATGTTAAAAATTTCAAGGGGTATAAATACTTTTTCAAGGCACTGTACCCAGTGAAGTGATACATACTTACATAAGTTGTACCTGTTCATCTGAATCTTCTCTATAGCTGATCAAAGTCCAGAATTTATACAGCTTGTCTGAACTTTCAGAAATCAGGGGGTAGAGAGCTCAAGTTTCACCCTGCAAAGCTCAGTGAGAGCTGATTGGATGGAAGGGATATGCCCCACACAGGAACAAAGCTGAGGCTGTCAATCACAGGCTGTGTGCTAGAGGTCCCTCCCCTGTCATCTTTTTCTTCTTGGTGTCAGGAAAACTTGTTAGAAGTGACCCATGCAGATAGCAGAGTAATGAGGCAGCAGTCAGAAATGACACTTAGTGCTTTTATTTCAGACAAGTACACACTATGGAGGAATATGCTTTGTTCATATTTCATGTCTGAGGTTTACTCAGACCACTTTAATGTTCCGTTTTATCCAATCCCATTAAGTAAACAGTACAATGGTCCTGTTTTTGGTCTATGGGAACTTAAGCGGGAAAGTGTGTCTGGGAGCTAAGCATGTTTCCGTGTTACCATGGGTTGTTTGTTTATGATAAATATATGAGAAACGAATGCAATTTTTGTACAACGTAAATATTATATTTCACATTTTGTTTTATTTTTCTAATTTGGATAACAGTAGTTCTATAGATCACAGCATACTCACGTGTAGCATCTAAGAGGTTAATTGTAGAGCAAATCCAGTTTTACTCGGAATCTGCAAGAATTCTTCCCCCTCTTTAATTTACTTATAGCATGCCCCTAGCTATGTGTTGTTGTATTCAATCCTCATCAGTGAGTCAATGGAGGAAGGACATGGGAGGGGTGATGGAGCGTGCCTGAATGTGTCACTGTCAATACTTTTATATGCATTGACAGTTGTGGCCAAGAGAGCAGGGAGTCATGGTGAAATTGCATTGATGCTGCTTCTGCAGTGGGGGCTGGGGATGGCTACAGCAGGACGTGACTCAAAGATGGCAGTTCACAATTAAGCAAAATAAGTCCTTCATCCAGTTACATCAGACTATAACCAAGCACATTATAATCTGCATTATGTTTAGATACATGATTCAGAAGTAATTATTGTAGTGCACTTTTATTTCCTATTACAATCATCAATCACAAGTAATTTCAACTGTGCAAATTCACCCACTAAAATAATGCATAAAGAGTGGTCAGCTTTCAGTTAAAAATAAATAAATAAATAGCCAATAGATCCAGTGATGTACGCAGATAACATATGCAAATGTTGCCTTTTTCTGTAAATGTCAATGGTTTACTTTGCATCCCAAGTTTGTCCTTAAAGTGATGGGCAGCTTTACTGACCTTTCAGTTCAAGAGATTAGAGGGTGGGGCCAAGCTTGACTTTTACAGAACAAGTTGAGATTTGCATACAACCTCAGTCGCCTGCATTACTGGCACTGTGTCACTGATTGTTCGGGCATGCAGTTTTCACCAGGGTTACCTTTGCTTTTGTGGTTTTTTTTTTTTTTTTTTATCATGTACTCAATTTAAATTTGCCTGGCTATGCTTCCAACATTGCTATGATTTCAAGCAGGCTTTTTAGTCTGGGGTGGGACCTTAAAATAATTTTCAGATCCCAAGGAACCCCTGATAAAATTATTATATCTGCAGCTTATAATACATTAATGTGATAAATAAGTTGTAGATTATCAAAGTGAAAAAGGTCCCCTTAGACTGGTGGTTAGTGGAGAGAACGTCCCTTACATTGGTCGTCATTAGGAAATGGCTCCCTTACATTGGGGATCAGTGGGAAGAAGTCCCTTACATTGGGGATCAGTGGGAAGAAGTCCCCTTACATTGGGGGTCAGTGCAAAGAAGTCCCCTTACACTGGGAGTCAGTAGGAAGAAGTCCCTTTACATTGATGATTGTTGGGAAGAAGTCCCATTTCATTCAGGTCAGTTCGTAGAATGCCCCGTACATTGGTGGTCAGTAGTTATCTTTTTAAAGATAACCCAGAACTATGTAGGCAATATCAGACCTGAGGTAAAAAAA